TGGGGGGAAGGGGGAAGGTTTGACACTCATTCCATACAACAAATATATTTACCTTCACATCATATACCAGCACATTAATTTTATTCTCCTGGGGGAGAGAGTTAGATATTTAAAAAGTGCCCTACACAAAGAAACAAGTTTAAACCTGCAACCATGGTTGAGAGTCCAAGCCACAATCACTGCACCAACCACCATATGCATCAGAACAGAATTTGAATCCAGAACTTCAGGCTTTAAAGGCAAGCACCTTACCACCAATCTCTTTTATTTTAACAATAAATTATGTGTAGTGTATTTTTTTTTATTCCAGCTTTGAGTCATGGAAGAAAATTGCCACATTTTGATATTCGGAGTCGTGTGTTTGAGATTGATCCCTGTGAAGGCTACGGAAAAGTATGCTTGGTGTACAACAATGCAAAACAAGGTTTGTCTACTGTAATTATATTCGTAAAAGCAAGGCGTGTATACTTCAGAACAAGGTTTGTCTACTGTAATTATATTCGTAAAAGCAAGGCGTGTATACTTCTGAACAAGGTTTGTCTACTGTAATTATACTCTAAAACAAAGTGTGTGTATTTATGCTTCAGAACAAGGTTTGTGTTTTAAATATATGGAACTTATGAAACAAAATCTGTATAGCTGATCCTTAGATTGTTTACTAGCTATGGGTCTATGTAAACAATGTAGAATGATATTATATACTGTATGTCTTGTTCTAACATTCAATTGAAATCTTGCTCCAGTCAATCAATCAGTCCAGGGGGATGGCTTCAGGTTTTGCCAGGCGAGGGGTCCAGAGAGCAACACACTGACGCGAATGTAAGTGAGCGTGGTCGGGTGTCGCTCAAAATCTCACCCTTGTCTCCCTCTGGCGCTACCCCTGAGTAAATCAATCAATCAATTCATGTAATTTTTAAAATTTTTGTTCTTGATTTATCCTCTTATATGTGTTGTAAATTTTTTTTAAAATTTTTTTATAGAGTGCACTTGCGAACAGGGGCCATACCGGTTGTGAAAAACACACCCGATGGGCCAATCAATGGTTCGCTGCAACTGAAAGTAAAAACTGAAAAGTTTTTTTTGGAAAGCTTAGTTTTTTGCTTATTTATTTTTAATATATTTTAATTTTTATCTGGAATGTGAGGTTTGAGGTTTTACATGCAGTTTGGCCTTTGGCCATGAAGCGTTATACACCTGATGATGATGAAGTGATATATACAATTCAAATATTTATTAGTTCAAAACAGATTTAGAATTTTTCTTATAGGAACACCAGCTGCAGATTCAGAGATCTGGTTTTTGGATCGTTCTTTCCACTGGCATTTCATAGCTGAGAGTTTCAGCCAATATTTTAGACTGATGATCATGAATCTGGGCTTACCGCTGTGGCACTTTGCTCTAACTGATATTGGGCTACCAAATCACGCTCAGGTTGGTATTTTGTGTGTGAAATCTCAGATTTTAAATTTTTAGTCTGTGTTTCCAATTTCTGTATTCTGATTCTAATCGTGGATAATTGTTCACAATAATCATATTGTCAATAAGTCACTTTTTATTTCTAGCAATGGTTTTATATGTATGCACCTCTACAACTGGATTTTGATAGTCAGATAGTGGAAAATGACCATGAGTCCAGAAAATGTTCAAACAGCAATATGTTAGAAGAGTTCCAGAATAAAATAGATGTCAACAAAGTGTTCAAAGGAAAAACTGAGAAAAAGTGAGCTTTTTGATATCTTTTGATATTAAATATTTAAAAAATTCTAAATTGTAAATATAACCAACTTACAATGGAAGCAGTACATTTCGATGATGATTCATTTGCTGATGATGATGAAGACGACAACGATTTAAATCTCACTTAGCTAGCACATTGATATTATAAAATTTAATGCTGTTATCTTTTGCAGATCAAAAGTAGCAGCATCTGCAACGTCATCTAGGAAAAAAACATTGTCCAAGTAAGAAATCTTCATTTACAAATTAGCAACAAGTTGTAAGTCAGAAGCAGTGGCGTATCTCA